CTCCCTGAAGTGAGAGGGGGAAAACAAAAAGAGATCAGGGGGTGGGGTGGGTAAAGGGGGGGAAAAAGATGAGAAACTCTAATTAAATTTTTGTGGTTTTGGGGTATAGAAACCCTAACAAAGCCTCTTTTAAAGATCTGACATGATTCCATCGATAGATGCAGCTCTCCAGAATCACAAACATCATGCAAAAGAGGTAAACGAGATAAGAAAAAAGGCAGAAAGGAAGGAAGGAAGATTACAGAGGGAAAGGAGGGAAAAGAGAGGAAGGGAAAGGAAGAAAGAGAGGCAGAAAAAGACAGGGGGGGGGGAGAAAATGTAGAGCAGTCGGGCTTGTTCTGTGGGCCACTAGCAAATGCCCACGTGGATAAGGAAGGAGAAAGAGAGAGGCGAGGGTGGGTGGGGAGGGGAGGAAAAGAGAGAGAGACAGAAGGGGGAAAGGAAGGGGAAACCCACTTTTAAAATGCTGCATATTCTTTTACTTAGCTGATGTGAACCAATGTGTTAGGTTTACATTGGCACATCCCAGCCCTGGCAGAATAATAATAAATATAATAAAATAGAATTAATAATAAGAATAATCATAGGGAGAAGAAAAAAACAAGGCCATGAAAAAAACGCAACTTTTTCAATGTTTGGGGTGGAGGGTGGGGGGGAGAGACACTGAAAAAAGGATGGAAATTCTGTGCATCTCCTCAGCAGAGGAATGTGATGCAGTTTCCAGACCTTACATGAGGGGAGAACACCAAGGCAAGGGGCGGCCCAGTTTCTCGTGGCTCCAATTATTGTTGGTAAATGAGCGGACAGATGACTTCTGGTCCTCTTTACTTCTGCATGGAAGCATGAGAAAGCGGCTGACGGAAATGTTTCAGTCGAGAAGGTGACCAGGCCTGAGGTGAACTCTTGATCAAGGGGTGATAACACACTTTCAATGCACTTTGCAACGGGATTTTACTGTGTGAAATGGCAAGATCCACTTGCAAACAGTCCAGCCGCCTGTGGACACCTGCTGCTAAAATGGCTCTCAGCGTGCGTTAATCTAAATGTCAGAGGAAGATTCAACAGGGCCTCAAGTCCCTGTTGAAGCACCAAGTTGGTCACAAGTGGACTATGCGGGGTAGATTTTGACCTGATCAACAGATTTTAGCTCTTCTTATGTTCCTAACATGTTTGGAGAACCGAGCCCAAGAATGAAGTTTAATTCTGGGTATAAGCTTTTGTTAAGCATGCAGGCGTGTATCTGAAGAAGTGTGCACGCCCACGAAAGCTTATACCCAGAATTAAACTTTATTGGTCATAAAAGTGCCACTGGACTCAAACCTCATTCTTTCCCAGGGAGGTTAGCCTGTCCTCTTCTATCACTGTCTTCTGCCAACAGGTGTAGACTTTTTTGTTTCACCTGGTGTTCTCTTACTAATCCTCATCGACCGTTCCTCCTGTCCGTCTACTGATTTGTTCTGTTTTAATTTTTTTATACATATTTATGCACGTTTTTAATCTTGTTTTATGATTTTTGTTATTGTCTTCCCACCTTGGGGACCCTAAATTGGGTGGCCTAGAAATGTTTCAAGTAAATAAACTTATTGATGACCATTTAGAAATAGACCTGTCCCCTCTTTTAGGGCTCCTGAGGTTGGTTGTGTGGGATCAGGTCATGTACGCACAGCGGCTTGTGTTATAATATTTTATTTTTTTTGCCCTGGGCTTGGAGAAATTCCACTTGGCCGCTGTGTGGAGAAAAGAGTTTCGTCTCCCCACCTTCAGGGATTTCTGTATTTGGCATGAGCTTGGCAGGGAGAGTTGACAAACCAGACTTTGGCTTTAGTAGCTCACTGGCAGTTACAAAATTGGCTCCATTCTACACCGGCATGGGCTACCCAGCCCTCTCCTAACAATGTATAGCTCCGTCACTTCAAAAGGAGTCCCTACTTTCGTCTCAAGCTCCTTAACGTGTATCTAGCCGTTTTATCACGAGTCATAACACTGGTCCATCAAGATCAGTCTTTTCTGCCGTAGCTGGCAGCAGCTCTCTCCTAGGTCTCAGGCAGAGGTCTTACACCTTACTTACTACCTGATCCTTTTGACTGGAAACGCTAGGGACTAAACCTGGGACCTTCTGCGTGCAACGCAGGTGCCCTGTCACGAGCCACAGCCCCTCTTACACCTTGGTAAGTGCTCAAATGTAAATCTTACCTTCGGCAGTCCATAATAAATTAAGACGTTACTTTGAATCAAAGGAGTGATGACTACTTCCACATCCTGCAGGTACCAGGGTGTCTTAGTGGACCCCTTCAGTGCGGGACGCCTCTTATCCCCCTAACCCCAACAGCAGCAGAGTACAGCTCTTGAGCTTTCGTTCCTCTGTGGCCAACAGGGGAAATAAAAGAGATACCTTATCTTGGAGATGAGCCCCAAATCGTCTGTTGGAGGTAGGCCCCGTAGAGGTAAGTGGGCCGTAGAAGTAGCCTAAGCATGGTAATTGCTGGCCCTGGCTTCTCTACCAAGCCAAGTAGTCCCTGAACCACTCTCAGCCAAAGAAGAAGAAGAAGAAGAAGAGATTGGATTTATACCCCACCCTTCACTTGGAGTCTCAGAGTGGCTTACAAACTCCTTTCCCTTCCCCTCCCCACAACAGACACCCTGTGAGGTGGGTGGGGCTGAGAGAGCTCTGACAGAAACGGCTCTTTCAGGAACAACTGTGCCAGAGCTTGTGACTGAGCCAAGGTCACATCAGCAGGTGCAAGTGGAGGAGTGGGGAATCAAACCCGGTTCTCCCAGATTAGAGTCCGCACACTTAACCACTACACCAAACTGGCTCACAGGGCTGTTATAAGAGAAATGTGAGATAACCTATGAGCTCCTGGGAGAAAGGACTGGACCGGATACAATGGATTAACTAATGACCATTGCCATCGGCCTGTGATGGCTTCGGGAATTTTTCGTGTACTTTCTGTGCCCTACAGCCACAAAGGGATTTTGAGGGCAACTCATACAAAGATGGGACCAAAACAGAAAGGCTGTCCCCCACATCCAGAGTTTACAGATGGTTTTAGGGGGGGGCTGCTCCCCCCCACGGTGGATGGGAGCATCTCACTGTCTTAGCCTGTTCTCTTCCGTGGAGAGAGAATGTCTTTTTAAAAGTCAAATATGGGATAATTTTATATTTGTGTTACAGAGATTGAAAATTTACAGAAAATAAAACACTCTGAAGTGTTTTTTTTGTGTGCCATTCAGTGTTCCCTCTAAGCTGAGTTAGTGTGAGCTAGCTCACAGTTTTTTAGCCTCCAGCTCACACATTTTTGCCTTTGCTCAGGAAGGATGTCTCCAGAACAAACTAATCTATGCAGTAGCCAAATTGCTCGCTCACAACTGAAATACCAGTAGCTCACAGAGCACAATTTTTGCTCACAAGACTCCACAGCTTAGAGGGAATATTGGTGCCAATGCACTAACCTTACAAATGTTCTGTTCTTCTGAAGATCCTCTCATATACTAGGCCTGTTTTCTGTGAACTAT